CCCACGCTGCTTTCAGTGTTCCTTCTTTGTCTTTTATTTGGAGAGTTTGGTTTCATATGTCTTGGTAATTTTCTTTTGGATTCATCTGTTTGAGGTTCGTTCATTTTCTTGACTTCCTCCTTTTTTTTTTCTCAACCCCTTTGTGGAGCATTTGGATGCACACCAATATCATTCTCTTGAATTCCTTCTCAGGCATTTCCAAAGCCTGCCCTCCTTCCAATGGGAAGTCTAGGTCTACCTCCAGATCATTTGTTTCAGTTACTCTATCTTGTTTCTGGATATGTGCCAAATCTTGAACTGTCTTTTGGCCATCTTCAATAATTAGATGTGTTTTCAATAATTAGATGAATGTATGTTGATGTATTATTAAGCTTTCTGATTGCCTCCAGGTAGATATGTGAGGGGATGGGCTTCCCTTTTCACTTTTCTTATTACTCAACTCAGAGTAACTGTGGCAGGTATTGGCTGTCTATCAGGTGTATAGCAGCTGGTATTGGTTCTTGCCTGGAGGGATTTTACAGAGTGTCATGGTAGCTTGGCTATATGACCACAATTGCTATTTCTTCTTGGATATTGTAGGGTGAGAAAAAGCCCTCGCCCCACCCTACAAGGTAAAAGCATAACAAAAAGAAAAAAAAAAAAAAAAAACCAAAAACACGGCAGAAAAAAAAAAAAAAGTAGATATTACAGTCTATAATCAGGGGAAAAAAGTAGGAAAATATGAGTATGAGTGTAATGCCGCTTGCTCAGCCAGCTGGAGACATTCTGAGAGACCGTCCCATTTTAAGCAGTTCCCATTGACCTCTCCCCTTCCTTAGATTCTGTGTGCTTTGGTTTTTGCTGAGCAGAACTGTGCACATGCATAGTAGAACCCTTCAGGGGTGGAATGGTATTGGGGCATCCACTTGCTCAGGCACCGCCTCTCGTCACCAGAGAAGAGGTGCACAGACATTGAGAGATCAATGAACAGGAAAAAATATTCACACCTTTATCTCCAACAATTGGTCAGACCTCTGAAGTGGGAACACTTCTCGGATCCTGTTCCTGCTCTGTCATACCCAAGATGGCTGCTTTAGCACCCACTGACAAGACGCAGATCAGAAAGCACCACTTTTCTTGCTTCTGCTACAAATTTCACAAGCAGTGAGCTCTGATCTTTCTAAATATTCCTTTATATGTAGTTCAGAGTTCTGGGATGGTCCCCTGAACCTGCATCATCCAGTAGTCTGTGTTATTGTTGTCAGAGGTCTGCACTGTGCTTCTCCCTAATCCATCAAGCCCCCCATTTTTTGAAGATTTATCTTCTATTCTTTCATGATGTTAGGTAAATTTTCTTCCAACAGGTCTTTGACTATCTTTTTTTTGCTTTTGTCCCTTCCTGTTCTGGAATTTTGATTGCCTGTATTAAGTTCTAGCTTTTCATGTTTCCCACATGAATCTCAGTTTGGTTTTTTTTAGATATTTTTTTCTTTTTCTGATTATTATTCTAGCTTACTAGTATTGAGAGATGTATCTTCAAGCTCACTAATTTGGGCTTTCATTGACTAAAATCTACTCCTTTGCACTTTCAATGTATTGGCCATTTCTGAAATCTTTATATTATCTTAGGGATTTCTGTTTGTCAGTTGTGTATTGTCTCCAGTTCTTTATCTATTTTGTTTGATTATCCCTGTAATGCTTTACTGAATTCTTCCTTGTTTTCTTCAACATTCTGTCAATCATTTGTTGTTATTGTTAAGTATCATTGAGTTGGTTCCAACTCATAGTGACCCTGTATAGGGTTACCTAGGAGTTACTGGTGATCTTGAACCACTGACCTTGCACATTGACTCACAGTGCCACAACAACGGCTCTGTCAATTCTTTGGAGTTACATAAATATAATTTACTTTAATTCTTTATTAGATAGTTCCAATGACCTTTTTCCACAAAAATGATTCCTAGCTCTGTCTCTTGGTCATTTGTTTGAGGTACTTTCTCTTGTTTCATTGTGTGAAGAGAAACTGTCTACTATTTCAAGGCATTGGGGTATTGTTGAATTTGTATTGAGTTGTTAATTGTATGGTGGTGTATTCTTAGACAATCTCCAACTGCCTACTGATGGATGTGATAAGGAGATGAATGGTGCACCGTTCATCATTCACTGTTCTTGCCGTTCAGTTCAGAATGGATTTAGCTGATATTGGTTATTGTCATTGATTCTGAGAATATTAGATGGTATTGTATCCTGCTCAATGGGTTGGGCCATAAAGAGTGCAATTGTGACTGAGTTGTATGGATGCAGTAGCTGTCTCCTGTTAAATGAGGCAAGAAGAGAAAACACACACACAAGAGATAAGAAAAACTAACACAAGTTAGAAAGCAAGAGCAAAAACAGAAAATAGTAAAGACAAAAAAGCAGACAACATCTAGAAAAGAATACAAAAATCAAAGAGAGAAAAGAAGGAGAGGAAAATATAATAATGAAAAAGATAATAATAAAAGTAAAATAAAAGACTGAAATATAATTAGGGAGAAGAATGAATAAAAGAGAAAGAGACCAGAGGTAATAGAAATGAAACAACAACAACAACAAAAATACCAAGAAGAGATTAATGAAAAAGAGAGAAAGAGTAAAGTAAGAAGCAGAAGCAGTTGGGAAAGAGAAGTAGCACAAAAAGAAGAAAACTATGAAAGGGGAGAGAAAATGTTTAGAAAGCAAGAGAAAGAAAGATGATGGAGAGAGAATAAGCAAACACAAACAATGAAGAAAAAAAAAAAAAAAAAAAAGGCAGTTACCAGACACATAGAGAAGAAAATTTTGGGGTCTCTTGCCAACTGAGTACCTCGCGTCATGTATGGGTAAGGAAATAGTAACAAGCAACCCTAGATGGAGTTCCTGTAGGGCAAGGTGTCATCTGTTCTGGGCACTCAGTCTGAAAGTAGTTTGTGCAGACTCTAAAGCAGCTGGGGGTTCAGGGTATATCTGTCCCAAAGAGGAGCCAAAGATGAGAGCTTCTGCTTGTGCAGGGCTGACCAGAGCCAGCTTTATAGGTCTGTAATAGGCTACACCTGATTCTAGGTGCTGGAGTTAGTGTTGCTAGTTCCCCACATATTTTGATGTGACTTCAATAGCCTGGAGAGCAGTAACTTCCCTAGGATATATGTGGATAGGAGCCAGCTACACTTCTGATCACCAGGGTAATGTGGGATATAAAAAAAGAACAAAACAAATTTCGTCTTTTTCGTTTGGCCAATAAGTGGTATGCCTCTGTGCCACCTACTCCCTTCTTGCCTTGAAAGTTGTTCATGGGCATGCATAGATCTCCAGTATTTTCTTTTTGTCTCCAGGCCTGGCTCTGCAGATTTGGAGCAGTATCTACCAAAATGGGGTCAATGTGCATAGTTGCCCTCTCTTTTAATGGGTCCCACAACTGTAGCACTGACCTCTGTGCAGCTCTGACCACTAGGAAAGTGAGAGCTACCCTGGTGTTGTGTGTGGGTGAGGGCTGACCGAACCTCTAGTAACCAGGGGAATGTGGAGAACAAGAACAAAAATTGCACCTTAATCCCTGCGTACCATGGATATGTTTCTGAATACCAATATGTTTTCTTGTCTCTGAAGCCACTTACAAAAGCTCAAGATGACTGAGTCTGTCTGGTCAGCAAGCACAGGTCATCATTCTCTCCTTTTTGCCACGTCTGCTCAGCTCTTTTCCAGAATAAGCATTCAATCCACTTTTCTATACTTTTATTTGAAGCTTAGAATGTCAGGACTATCATCTGCCTCTGTTTCATCTGGTTTTCCATATATTTGTTGTAGAGGGTCCAAACAACTCTTCTGCCTAGTTCACCATCTTGTTATCTCAGCAGGATTTTTTTTTTTTTTTTAAGTACATAAGTACTTGGCATATAAATAGAAAAGTTCATTATAAAATTGTGACCAGAAAGACTTTAAATTCGAAGCCACGTTAGTCCCAGATTGCCATCTACTCTAATGAATCATTGTTGTGAAATGCCATCTAGTCAGTACCGACTCATAGCAACCTTACATAGGGTTTCCGAGGAGTGGCTGGTGACCTTGAACCCCTGACCTTGTGGTTCAAAATGACCTTGCAGTCCAGCGCATTAATCCACAGCACCACACTAGGACTCCAGATATAAATGAGTCATAGACATTTATATCTTTAGAGGAAACAGTAGAAATGATCTATTCAAATTCCATCTTCTTTCTGGAATCACTGAGAAAGTGCAAATCCAGCTCTCTGGATTCCTGGGCCACCTATTTTCCTCTGCCTCACACTGTCCAACCACTCAGCCCTCTTCAGTCTGATTTTTCATCAGCACAGTTGAAGTTCTCTTTCTAAGAGAATTAATATCAGTTTAGCCTGTACTGAGAAGACTACTGCTGTGCTATCTCTATGGCTTCCTTCATGCTGCTCTCTATCTGTAAGGATTCTGACTACGCCTTCTCTTGAGTAATGTTTAACTTTCAGATTGCTCCTGTGGAAAGCAAAAATGCAACCAGAGACAATTTTGTAGCGTTATAGTACATTCTTTTAAACATTTTGCCTATGAACTTGATCTAACTCCACTTTTCTTTCACTCTATCTAATTCCTTTCAAAAGTTCCTATGATATCAACAATGAGACTTACTTAAAAGGTAGTAAGTTTTCTTACTTGGTTTAGGAAGAAAGAGCTATTTCCTGTCCTTAAACACAGTGCATACAATGTGCAAAGACTTACAGGGAGGGCAGAGATACTAACAATGATCAAGCTCAAACTACATTAGGCTTGTCATTTGGAAAGGGCAAATATTTTTCAAGATTAAACTCACTCTGTTTTCTGTATGCACTCCCTACACATCTAACATTTATATCTAAATGCATTTGTTTAAATGACTGTTTTCCTGATCCTCCATACCTTGTACTGGCATGACAATGGTGTGGGCTTCAGAGTCAGGCAGGACTGATTGTCTCCTCATAGGAGCACCTCTAACTTGGTCTCCCTTCTGTTTTCTAGACTCAGGAAGACTCCCCAAAGCCTCCATCGTCTCCATCACATTAGGCAGTGTGCTGATTGGTGGCTTGGCAGCATTGACCTGGATGGTGATTTGCAGGTGGTAAGTTCCACATTCTTCAATTGCTACATTAAATAGGAGGCAATTTTCTCTCCTTTGAGCAAGGCTATTAATGAAGCTTTCTTATTTCTCTGAAGCCAGTATAGATTATAGGTATTACAAACTCATATATCACCAGAGCTATTTTGTACACCTTATTAGACTCTCTAGTTTTTTCATTATACTTTAAGTAAGGAAATTGGAATGATCAATAGTATACCTTAGTTTAAACCTGAGATCTGTAGATGGAGATTCATCAATATTAAATACTTTGGTAACTAAATGCTTTTATTGAAATGCTCGCTTGTTCAGAGTAAAAAATGTCCTACAAAGATTTCTCAGAGGAAAAAAAAGAGAGAAAGTTATCTGTGGATAAAAAGTTCATTCGTCAGTCATATCCTCTCCCCTAAGGAAACTACCCAAAAATAAATTAAAGTTGAATTGTAATGATAAAAATGGTATTACAATGGAAAAGTTCAGACACAAAATCTGAGTTTCTGATCTGAGATACCATTCCCCTGCTAGAAGATGTTTGTGGGTATCAATTGCACTGAGTTTCTCTAACCCTGGAATAAATTCAACCTTGACTCCCTTGTTGTGTCCTTTTACCTTGCAACCGTTAAGCCTGCTCTTGGAATTTTGTATAATTTTAATATGCATTATTTTAAATAGAAAGTGGTGAGAAAAAAACTGCTTAAAAAAAAATAATCCATTGCTTTATAAATCTCATACCCTCCACCACCATCTGAATATATACTACTATATACCACATTCACTTCTGCCTCCAGACTTTTCTTCAAACTGTTAGATTTCACATAAAATAACATCTCCATTTTTTCTTTCAAACCAACATTAATGCTTCCTTCAAGGTAGACTTTCGATCTTTAATGTTCAATATCTACTCTTGTCTGCAGATTTCATTTTCTAGTATTCTCCTAATATAGCTAGATCTCACACATCCTCAAATTCAATTATAAACTATATTCATTGTTTCCTGATGTGTGTTTCATCCTCTCAATAATAAATAAACTCCACATTAAAAAACAATCTTCAGAGTTTCTAGTGAAGTCTTCAAATTCAAGCAAAATGAAACTTCAATTGTTTCTCCATTTATCATGTTGTTATTTATTGGTCCGGTGGTCAGGATTTTTGTTTTCTTTACATTGAGGGGTAACAGATATGGAAGGCTGTGTTCTTTGGTCTTCATCATGGAGTATTTTAAGTCCTCTTCACTTTCACAAGGAAGGTTGTATCATCTGTAAATTGCAAGTTATTAATGAGTCTTCCTCCTATCACGATGCCACGGTTTTGTTTTGTTTTTCATATAATCCAGTTTCTCAGATTATTTGCTCAGCATACAGATTGAATAAATATGGTTAATGAATACAACTCTGGCACACACCTTTCCTGATTTTAAACTATTCAGTGTCCCCTTGTTCTGTTCGACATGATTGCCTCTTGATCTATGTACAGATTCCTTATGAGCACTATTAAGTATTCTTGATTACCAATTCTTACATTGCTTCTCATCATCCACACAGTTGAAAGCCTTTGCATAGTCATTAGAGGACAGGTAAACATCTTTCTGGTATTCTCTGTTTTCAGCCAAGTTCCATCTGATGTTAGCAATGACATCCCTCATCTGAATCTGGATTGAACCTCTGGCAGTTTCCTGTCAATGTACTGTTGTAGCCATTTTTAAAATTATCTTTAACAAAATTTTACTTGTATGTGATATTACTGATATTATTTGATGGATTGTACAAAGTTTGAATGTAAGGAAATTGAAAGTTGTCTTAGATTCGTATTTTATATAATCCAAGTTTCAATTATTAATGGATGCTTTCAGCTGTTTCTCCTCATTTGAGTTGTGCCCCATCAGCAAATGAAGGTTCCAAAAGTTTTACGCCACTCAAATTATCATGGTCAATTCTATGTTGAGACAGCAATAGTATTTTCAGTGCCTTGCAACCTAAGGTGCTCATCTTATGGCACTATATTTGACAGAATAATGTTTCTATTCACAAATGTTTCTATATTCAATATTTGGTGCTAGCTGACAGTGTTCTACTTCTATTCCTAAGGTTTTCTGTGACAAACCATTCAGAAGTCATCTGCCTCTCTTTCTTCCTTGTCTGTCTTAGTCTGGAAGCTCAGCTGAAATCTGTCTACAGTGGGTGTATCCTGCTGGTATTTAAAATGCTAGAAGCATAGCTTCCTGCATCACAGTATGACAACCTACACACAAGTCATCATAGTATGACAAACAACAGAGTGGTGGCATATTACTGATAGAAAGAAAAAGTGAGATCATGGGTACAAATTGCTTAGCATCTAATCTATCACATAACTTCTAGCTATTGGTATTAGCTTTCTACTTGAAGAAATTTGTCACAGCTATTGTCTGAATTACAATACATGTTATTTCTGATAAGAGTTGTTGCTGTTGTTAAGTGCTGTCTAGTTGGGTCCACCTCACTGTGTTCCTGTATAGGGTTTCTGAATAGTGGCTGGTGAGTTTGAACCACCGACCTTGCAATTCAAGAAATCAAAATATGTAATGCATTAGGCAAATCTACATAAGATCTCTTTAAAGTGTTCAAGAGCAATGATGTTGGTTTTGAGGACTAGAGTGTGCCTTTCCCAAGTCATGGTATTTTTAATAGGCTCAGATTCCTGTGAAATTTTGACAATGAATAAGTAATATCATAGAAGAATTGATGTATTTGAATTATGGTGTTGGAGTTGTTATTGTTATTAGTGCCATCAAATAAATTCTAACTCGTAGCAACCCTGTATAGTGTTTCGTAGGAGTGGCTGGTGAGCTTGAATCTCTGGCCTTATGGTTCAAACTGACTTTGCAGTCCAGCGTATTAATCCACAGTGCCACACCAGGACTCTATATGTTGTTGGGGTATAATATTAAAAGCACCATGGATTGCTAGAACAAACAAATCTGTGTTAGAAGAAGTACAACCAAAATGCTCCTTAGAAGCCAGGATAGACTTGGTCTCTCATACTTCAGACATGTTATCAGGAGGAATCAGTCCCTGGAGAAGGCCATCATACTTGTTAATGTAGAGGGTCAGCAAACAAGAGGGAGATCCCTAACTAGATTGATTGGCACTGTGGCAGCAGTAATGAGCTCTACCACAACAGCAATTGTGTGGATGCTATGGGACCAGGGTCATTATGGGTTGGAGCTGGTTCGGTGACACCTAAAATCAACTCAAAGTTAATTATGTAAATTTTTGCTGTTGTTGTTAAGTGCTATCGAGTTAGTTCCCACTCAGCAACCCTGCATAAGGTTTCCGAGGAGCACCTGGTGGGTTTGAACTGCCGACTTTGTGGTTTGCAATCCAGTGCTGATCCTACAGTGCCACACCAGGAGTCTTAATTATATGAGGCAGGTAATATTATTATCTCTGTTTTCAATGTATCATACTACAAGTGAAAAACATTTTTGTAGCAATGCTGATAAGTAGTTATTTAAGCCAACGATCTATCTAATACTGAAGGTCTTGTTTTTGACCATGATGCCATATGACCTCTCATTAAAGTTGACATTGGAACAGAAGCATACTAGGTGATCTAGTTATTGATTTAAGCTGTTGCTGTATCAGCTCCCATCTCATGGTAACCCTATGAATAATGGAATGAAATGCTGCCTGATCCTGTGCCTACCCATGATGACTTTAGATTAGATTGTTACTATCCCTTGGATTTTCATTATTTGATATTTAGAAGTAGATTTCCAGTCTTCTCTCCCTAGTCCCTCTTACTCTGGAAACTTCATTGAAAATTGTCCAGCAACATAGAAACACATAGGAATCCACTGACTAATGAACAGTGACTATAGATAAGATAGGTTATGTAGTCCAGTCTCTTGCATAGAAAGCATTCTGGGTAATCACTCACCTGCTCTTCGATGTTCTATCAGTTGTTCTTGGGTTAAAGTATGTATTTGACATATTCTCATAAAGCTTCATTCTAACTTACCTGAAATAATATTTAGACAGTGTATCCAGATTTAGATTGGGTATGGTGGCAAGAAATAGTCCATGTGTTGTAAGAATCACTAGGTTTTAAATGATTAAACATTACAATAGTTTAAAACCTTCACTATCCATGAAATAGACAAAACAATAAAAATTAAATAGGTGCTAGGTAAACAAACTTCAATTAGCTGAGTTCAGTAATCCTATCTACTAAATATGAATATTCTGAAACTGATATAACTATAATTTAGTGTTCATATGCAATTTTGTGTTTGTAAACATTGCTATGCACATTTATTGCCTTATCATTATGAAAAATGTTAGTACTTTCAGTTCTCACTTATAAAAATAATAGTTATTTTCCTTAAGATTGACAACCTTAGATTAAATGAACACCTTTCAAACAAAATCTGGGAGGTAAGTATGCTGCTACACTTGATTTTAGACTCTAGAGCCTTAAAAGTATGCTACCAAGCACCAATTTGTTTTGCAAAATGTTGCTTAGCTGAATGACATGAAAGGCTGATGTTAACTTACAGCTAGAGAAGAGTAGTTCTTTAAGGTCATTATTAACAACAACCAGTGAATCCATTTTTGACTCACTAGAACTACTCTGAAGTATTTTCTAAAATGTAATCTTTACAGGAACAGATTGCCAAGTGTTTCTCCCATGGAGTGGGTTTGAACACCAGCCTTCATGGCTGTACCACCAGGGTTCCTCTTTATAGAAATCAGAGATTGAGCTTAAAATGGGAGGAATTTGTCTCCACTGTAGAAAAACAAGAAACTGAAACTCCACTTGCTACATCTCACTAAACAAAACAGCCAAAAGAGGAACCTGAGAATGAAGAGATGAGGAAAACAAGTCTTCTGAAGAAACCGTAAAAATAAGGAAAATCAGTCTATAGAAAAGGTGAAGAAAAAACAACAATACCTTCTTGGGCTACCTTTTCTGCTAGCCAGCTAGCCAGGGCCCAGAAATAAAAACCCATGGCTTCCTCCCCACATC